GGTTTCAACAGACTTCGGGTGAGTTGCATGGATGAAGTTGCCTAGCCTGGATGCGAAACGCATGCCAACAACATTTCCAGCTCGAAGAACAAGCCAATACCAAAATCCGCTTCTCGAGTTACAATCATTTTTCATTATTTCCAATTAGCCACGTTTTCGAGAATACAAAATTTATTTGTCAACAGATGATCTTTAGATCAGAAAATACGGAGGAACACTACTGCCTTGCTTTTTGCGCACAGCACTTTCGGGTGGCAGGAGGATAATGAAGCGCAAACAAACACAACGTATTCATTTCTCATACTGCTCAGAAATGGAGCAACAACGAATGATGTTTTGTGTTTCTCATTCACACATCGGAGAGCAGTGATGCTGTTTGTTCGCTGCAGTTGGTTTTTTGTGAATTGCCTGCTGTCCGACTCACCCAGATATTCATCGAATGGGAATCGATCGATTGTGGGTTGAATCGATTCTACGATTGAAATTAAATCTAGCTTATTTTTAGACTGTGAGTTGCCGGTTGGGAAAATCAATCAACAGATACATATTTCGTCCGCGCTCCAAATCAATATTTATCGTTCCACAAACTGTAAAATGCAATACACAAGGCATCATTTGGATTGTCGGTCTAACAGAATGAGGCGGAACAACAATATACGCAAATGCAGAAATGGACCATTTAGGAATGCGAGATCAATCTGATGTTTATTTCACAGCATTCCTATGGTAAATGTATGTAAGCTTCTAATGTAATTCATTCACAAAGAACCTGGGAGTTTGGAAGTGGAATCGAATGAAACGCATCCATAATTCAAGTCAAACTCATACACATCAGAGGAGAAAATTCATAGGTTTATTCGACAAAAACACTGACAGAGGAAACTTTTCAATGAGTGTGAGCCAAAAAGGTTACATAAGGGGTTAATCTTTGGATACCCAACCGCACGGCGGGTTATTTCAAATCGGTTCCAATTGATGGGCTAACAAAATACAACTTGGCTTATAGTAATAGATTATTTTTAGGATGTTTTTATTCAATATGAAGTTGACTCTTGTATCGATCAAAATTTTATTAACCAATCAGAAGTATCAATACTGCGATTCTAAATACGTGACAAATAATTCACTGCTCATGTGTGATTCCTTCCTTCGCCATTTGGTCATTGTATCAAAGATCTATCCCGTTGCAGTTGACATATTTACAACGCTGAATATTCCCACTTATTGCATAGAAAAAGTTCAATGGTTTGAATACACTCTAGAAGATAGAATGTCATCAAATATCTAAATTTGTGGTTTGCATGAATAGATATTAGCTCTATATTAAATGCAAAGAGAATAATATATGTGATCGCACACGTTCTAAGGGGAGTAGCTTAGGGAAGAGCGATATGTTGATAGAGTTCTTCAAGTTTCGAGGACCATATGTTATCAGACATTTCGGTGGTTATGTGAAGATATATTGGAAAGTAAGAAAAGATCCTTTTGATCTAACGATGAATTCGTCATGTAAATAAGGCGTGAGCTCAAAAGTTAGGAAGCACTGGATAATTGTTTCCACCTGGATGGATCTCTTCAGTGGTTTGAATTTATCGACCCAAGAAGGGGTCGAATCCGGGACCTCACAGGTATAACGCAAGCATACTACCCACTCGACCACAGGGCAGGTGATCAGACCGTTTCCCATTTTGAATATACACGATTTAGCAGAGTCTATCTTTGTGAGCTTGCTGCGGGAAACGGGGCTCTTCATCTCAACACTAGCCTCAGGAGTTTTGACTCGGTTGGAAGCCTTGACAATCTCCCCACTTGGTATATGATGGGTTGTGTTATATCGTGTATGTTCAAAATGAGAATCGGTTTGATCACCTGGCCGGTGTTCGAGTGGGCAGTGTGCCTGTGTCCTACCTATGAGGTCCCGGATTCGATCCCCACTTGGGTCGATGAATTCGCACTGGTGATGAGACCCAAACAGGTCGGAACAGCTGTCTAGCGCTTCCTAGCTTTTCAGCTCACACCTCACTTACTCGACGAATTCATGATCTAATCAAATCAAATCTTCCAGTCCTCGCATTTATCCTTTGAGGGATGAAATATGTGTGCTCAGGAAAACCATTAGTTGTGCGTCATACACTGGATGTATCTGTCTGTCCATCGAATGTGATGTCCCGAGGATTGGAGTTGTATTCAGGTGGCTCGGTGTTTGTGTGCGTGTCACATATAGAATGAATGTCACAACACATTCGAGGTGGAATGTGTCCTTCCCCCTTCCATACTTCTGTTTGATGACTGTGCGTGTCAGCGAGCGAGCCTGTATGCGTGTGTAGTTCAAATTGTGTGCCGGTGTTTGTCTGAAAATGCGAGCTGATGATCTCTTTTATTGATCGCTCAGACAGACACAATTACGGTTTGATGAAAATTTGATGTGGACGATTGGGTCCGATGTGATGTTTATCAAACACGAGTTCATACGGTCCTACCCTTCGAGGACAGCATAAAATGCCACAAATCTTATGCGATTTCAGTGTTCATAACTGTATGTTGTTGATTGAGTTATCAGGTAATCTATTTATTCTAATCCACTACCAAACCTGGGATTGGATACTACATTTTTTTATCTTGCATCTTGGATTGTCAGGGTGACTGCCTAGCAGCACGCACCAAAAAAATACTACAATGTGAAATTTCATCGATAAACTGAACAAACAGTTACAGTTTAAATGCACCGAAAATTGACCTCCGATTTCGAACGAATCTTACGAAGTCAAAGCCAGCCCTTTTGGGTGTAAGCCGCACCAATCACTTTTTAATTCCAAGGACGCAGGCCAGCAGACAGAGCTTTTTTAGGCTAGAAACCTGTAGCTGGTAATTGATGTGTAATGCTCGTTACATAAAACAGGTTCTGCTCCATTCAGTACAATTAAATTTACTTACCTAATAATGGCCACAGGGACAACAGTGAACAAAGCTATCGGAATTAAGAATTATGGATTCCATGCAAATTTAGAGGAACAAAGTCGGCAATTGTTAGGCCGCTTTTCGATAATTTAACCCTCTGAGGCACATCTGATTGGTAAATGAATGAACGAATTCACATTGTGCCAAAACTTGCGATCTCACATTAAAATGGAGCGTTTTTATTTTAAAGACCATCCAGTGGATGAGGACAGATGTATCACCAACTAATTAGTGAATTCTAATTACAAATTTTCATCTACTTGTGACCGTTAATCACTGTAACGGGAGATTTTCACGAAACACACTTGAATTAGTGTTGCACCTATGGTTCCAGCTACATACTTCATACTCTCGGCAACTGTTGACCGAGAATTCACATTTTACGAACAATGATAGCGTGCGTTTATTTATGAAAGTTTTCCTGGGTATTTCGGAAATCGAAATTTTTATAGTCCCGGGGTTAGCCATTGACCCAGTTGGCATCAAACATTTACAGTGTTCGAGTCTGGGAAGAATAGAACCGTTCACATGTCCAGTCGCTGTATGTAACAAATTGAATGGTCGATTGTCAGACAAAATCTGGCACAGAATGAGTAACAGAAGAGCACAACTAAACCATCCGTTCACCGTCCAACCCCCTC